AACGCGACATTTTTTTTCGTCTAATGCGTGCTACGTTTATTTATGTCACATATTGTGATTTAACAAAACCATAGCACCTTCTCCAGTGTTCACATAACAACTGAACGCAATAATCATGACATGTTACAAGGAGCCCAGAAACTATGATAAAACTACGCCTAACCTATTTTTGGGGGCGGGGCGTGATCCCACATTTTTTTTTTAAACTTGAAATATAGACAAAAGAAATATTTATATTAAAAAAAAATCAGTTTGGTGAATAGTCTTTCAAATTTCAAATGTCTACCCTTAACCAATATTATTAGTAAAATAAATCAAGAGAATTAAAGAGAATGACTTCATTTATGAATTCTGAGCAGTTTGTACGGTTTAACAGTACAGTTGGAGGCCTGGCCTATTTAAAATTTGTTATGCACCAATCACAAAACTGGTTATAAACCACAGCAGTCGTAAATCAGTTTGCCTCACTTTATGTGCTACATGGTTATTATAGTAAAAATTATGTCTGCTGTATTTGCTTAATTAAAAGCACTTATGTAAATGACAAGATGTTTCTATGGTCAAAATTAGTCATATTTTAATGATCCAATATACTGTAAAGTGGTTAATTATTCACTGGGTTTTAATTTTGCTCATTTCGCTCACTGGAAAATGCGCTAAATTAAAATCCAGTGAATATGTAAAATTTAGCATAGAACACATTATCTAAATGATAAAACCGTGAATTTAAAACCCATTGAATATGCCTGAAATGGTAAATCAGCGAAATTTAAACCCAGTGAAAATTAGTCATTTCACAGTACAATGATTGCATATTGGAAGATGTGCTTCTAATAGAGAAATTGAGAAATTATATTATTGAGTGACGGTGAGTTGAGACGTCAGTACGTCATATTTACATAATGCATGATGAATAATAAAACAATTGTTATACTCTGAAAACTATATTCCAGTCAAAACATACCTAAAACTATTTGATAGTATGGTTAAATTTATCCCGATCTATTGCAGTGAAATTTGGACGAGCGACTTCATACTACTAATAAAAGATATGTTTGATAGTGGGTTACCTATGGAAAAATTTCATAAGAAATTTTGCAAATACATTTTACAGGTAAACTGTAAAGCCAGTAATTTGGCATGTATTTTAGAATTAAGTAGACACCGTATTTTACTTCCTGTATAAAACAAATGTTAAAATATTGGCTAAAAATAAAAACAAAGAATGAAAACACACTAGTCCATGAAGCATACAGACTTGGCATAGAGATGGATGATAAAGGTATACTTAATTGGGTATCTGGTATCAAAAATATTTTGCACTATCTAGAAATGTACAAGTCATGGGAAAATAATGATCCAAATTATAACACCAATCTAATCAACACAATTTGCATTAAACTCAAAAAAGTATTCAAAAACAAGAACAAATGCATGATGATAATAAAAACAAACACCAAAAGAATAAACTGCGTACATGTAGACTGCTAAAGAAAAATTGCCAGTATGAAAATTATCAAATTATCTAACAACAGTAACAAATACAAAAAATAGAGCAGCATTAACAAAATTGAGAATTAGCGCCCATAATTTAGAAATAGAGAAAGGATGATGCAAAATAATTCCTTGCAGTGGTAGAAAGTGCACTGCTTGCGACCAAAATGAGATTGAAGCTGAAATGCATTTCTTACTTGAATGCAAGCTATATGAAAATGAGAGAACTGAAATGTTGTAGGAAATAAATTTAATACATTGCAACAACATAAATACCAATAAATTGATTACAATGCTAACAAGCAATAACAGCAAAAAAATAACAAAACTAGCAAGCTACATCTATAATTGTTTCTGTGCCAGAGAAAATCATTTCAAAAAAACTACCAGAATAGGTGGATATATGAATGGATTTCATAGAAAACCTAGTTTTGGTACAAATGCTTTGATTGGCCAAATTAATTCCCTGTAAGTGCAAGGAGAGTACTGATTGGTTCAAAGTTTAGGTTATTATGAAAATACTGAAGAAAAAAAAATGTTGACCATTGAGCAATATATACCACAGGTTGATGCGAGTACAATTGAGTGTCTGGTTTCTTACTTTGAGGTATTCTCGTAATGACCGGATATACATGTATTTGGACCATCAGGATATCTTGTGAGCTTATGTGTAACACTTGACTGTTCTGTGCTTTGTCTAGGCCACATGCTGTGCATATTTCTCTACGTCACCGAGCCAGAATGTCAAATTTTATGATAATGCATTTGACGCTGTCAAAGATATTCTGATAATTCTACGCTGCTTGTCGGAGGTAATGTGAAAATATAGCAAAGTGTATGTGAATGCAGTAGCTCAACTGATAAATAGTTAAAATCATAATTATAGTATTTTCGCTGTATTTTGACGCAAATCCCTCCCTCCAAAACAAATATTCTGGTTTTCACTTATCATAAAGCACATCAGCTAAGAATGTTTTTTTTTAAAAACTAAAGAAAAAGAAAATTGTCATTAAACCAAAATTTTTATAACAGTTTAAAAATAAATAAAAAAGAGCATGACAAATTGACCTAAAACTTTAAACATTTTAATCTTTTCACGCTTTCAGATTTTGAATAATAGTTTTCTGTATTTATTTTCTCAGGATTTGGTCTGTGTGGGATTCCTGAAAATCTAATCCATGCATTATTAGACACTGGAGTGAAGGGGATCACTGCTGTCAGTAACAACGCAGGGTGAGTGTATCTGTTGTGTGGTAGTGATGATGTCATCCATCATGTTGTGCAGTATTCATGATGTCATCTGTTTGGACTGTGAAGTATTGATGATGTCATCAATTTGCATAGTGTGCAGTATTGATGTCATTGGTTTGTGTTGTGCAGTATTGATGATGTCATCAGTTTGCATGGTTCAGTATTGATGATGTCATCAGTTTGCATAGTGTGCAGTATTGATGTCATTGGTTTGTGTTGTGCTGTATTGATGATGTCATTGGCTTGTGTTGTGCAATATTGATTAATCATTGATTTCTCTAACATCTTATAGTGTTGATGATTTTGGTCTGGGTCTGCTGCTACAGAAAAAACAAATTAAACGCATGATCTCTTCCTATGTTGGTGAAAATGCTGAGTTTGAACGACAGTATCTGTCAGGAGAATTGGAAGTTGAACTAACACCTCAGGTAATTACATGCATGGCTTTTTCCTCCACTGGAGTCTACTTTGTGGAAATTTACTGTTAGTATAAAACAAACAAAAAATACATTCAGTGGCTCATGTCTTGTGCAGGGGGTTGAAAGGATCTTTGTGTTTGATGAACACCCCCAACATGTGTCTAGACAAGAATTGACATATTACAAATGTCCTACTGGTTTTTCTGAACTCTGACATTTTAATAACTCTGATTTCTCCTTCATTTAGGGTACCTTAGCTGAGAGGATTCGGTCTGGTGGACATGGTATCCCAGCCTTCTTTACACCCACTGCTTTTGGAACTTTAATCCATGAAGGGGGTGCACCCATAAAGTATAACAGCGATGGTAGTATTGACATAAGTAGTGAGCCAAGAGAGGTAAGCTATTTAAAATTTAGGGGGTGCACCCATCAAATATAATAGCAATGGTAGTATTTATATTAGTATTAAAGTCAGAAAGGTAAGATATTTTAAAAGTAGGGGGTGAACCCATCAAATATAACAGCGATGGTAGCACTGATACAAGTAATGAGCCAAGGGCGGTAAGCTATTCCAAAAATAAGGGGTGCACCTCTCAAATAAAACAGTGATGGTGTAATTGATATTGTCATGTGACTTTTACGATTTCAGTTTAGATTGACATTAATATCTTAACTTTCACTTTATTTGATCAAATACTTTTCTCCAGAGTCGTAAATTTAATGGACGTGATTACATAATGGAGCCTGCCATCACAGGCGACTTTGCCTTAGTGAAAGCGTGGAAAGCCGATAGAGCTGGCAATCTGATATTCAGAAAGACAGCAAGAAATTTCAACCCTCCTATGTGTAAAGCAGCTAAGATAACTATTGCAGAGGTGAGTAATACATACATTGGGGTGATATTCCCTCTTAGCACCTTTAAAAAACAACATCATTTTCATTTAAATAATTGAGACATGACAAAATTGGAGAAATTAAATGAAAATGTTCATGCCGCATCAGAAACATGAAATTAAAAATATTTGTCTTTTCAGTACATTGTCAGCATTTTACCTTATCAGGACATGATAATTCTAAAATGGCAACGTGTTATCACATTACCTACTAAAACCTCAACAAAAATAAATGAAAAAAAAAACAGCGTCAGTAGATTTGTTAATACACTAAACTAAGTGTATTGCAAAAATGTTCCATTGTGGGGAAATACTCAAGAATAATAGATGTGTTCTAGTGAACATAGTTACTGCTCGTCACTGAGAGAGCCTCAATATACAGTGTTCTGTTTTTATCAGTTTGTATACTGTAAAGGATTAATTATTCACTGGGTTTTAATTTTGCTTATTTCGCTGACTGGAAAATGTGCTAAATTAAAACCCAGTGAATATGTAAAATTTAGCATAGAACACATCATCTAAATGGATAAAACCATGAATTTAAAACCCACTGAATATGCCTGAAATGATAAATTGGCGAAATTTAAACCCAGTGAAAATTAGTCATTTCACAGTACAATGATTGCATATTGGTCATTTTACAGTATGTCGCCCTCGTCTATGCAGTCCATTCAAATGCAATTTGACAGCAAGTGTTGACATTGTCATCAATGTAACCAACTATGCCAAGATATATTTTGTTTTGTAATCAGAACCTGAATTATACAGCCATATATACATATATAATTATTGACCAACATCATCAAGTAGGCACAATGTACTGTAAAATACTTTATTTCTGCTTGGAATTTATTTTCGCTGAAGGGCTGATTCAGTGAAAATAAAATCCAGCAAATATACGTTTTTTGATATTTTACATTCAACTCATCAAAAATCAGGGAAAATATATTCCATACAAAACACTCAAAACGCCTTTTCAGCGAAAATTAAGTATTTTACAGTATAAAACGGGTTTGATAAATGCGAAATGCGACTGCTTGATAGTTTCATCACAAATACTGTAAAGACATTAATTATTCAATCTTTTTTAATTTTGCTATTTTGGCTGATATTTAAAATCCACTAAATTAAATCTCACATGACATATGAAATAACAAATAATGAAATAACTCAGTTTTCTTGACAAATTCGTGAAATTTAAACAGTGAATATGCTTATAAAATATAAAAATAAATGGTTTTACAATACATTATATTTACATGTACTTTTATTGTCTTCTCAGGTGGAGGAAATTGTTGATGTTGGTGAAATAGATCCAGAGAATGTACATATTCCAAGTATATT